TGGAACCTTATCCATAAAAATCCATTCCTTTGTATGTTTAATCTTTAGCCGGAGGAGCATCCTAAAGAAAAATTGCCTTGTAGTCCTATGACCCAAACGGTAATTGTCCACTACCATATTGTAAACTAATCTAGCACAACCCATCCACTGTCGAAGCAAGGTCTTCTGAGAGGAATTGGGATACATTCTTTCAGTGATCGTGTCAAGTCTGCCTTCTTCATTCTTTTGGCTCGTCGTGTTGTTTGCACTATTTTCTCGCGTTTTTTGTTTTTTGTCATGTTTCCGTTCTCACCTGTACCTGAATAGATCAAGTCGATTAGAATTCAATTTATTACAAAAATAAAGCCAAAGTTAAATATTTATATGAAAAAAAAAAAAAAAAAATTTAGCTGGCAGCTTCCCTTGTAATCGGCAAAATGAAGACTGTATTAATGGTGATGATATCTCCCATTCGTCTGTTGTGTTATCTTCTGAGAGAATCACGAATCGACACAGCCTGTCTCTGTGGGCAAGAACAACTTCTTTGACCAGTCCGCGACTTGATCGTTCCAGTAGGGAACACAATCCGGATCTCTTGAAATTGATACTGGAGCCGATGTCTGAAATAAGGCAGTGGTTTGTAAACTGCGAGAGGAGGTATTGTTTCTGTCTTTCAAGATCTTCTTTCTGTTTTGAGCTTGAGACCCTGGCATAAACAAAAGATTCACGTTGGGATTCCAAGGAGGAGGAGGAGGAGGAGGTGTTAGCATTGAGGGGAGAGATTATGTGTTTACGATTTGGATTTTCAAATGAGCAAATATTTCAATGGTTAAAAGAGTTTGGGTGATAATGTCTTTAAATATGTTTATAGTTGTCGGCATTTGAATGGCGGAACCGAAAACATCGAAAACATGCAATCTTGTACGGAGTCTGAAACATGCAATCTCACATGCAAACACAGCTATATGATGTAAATATATTAGAGGGTTAAACAAAATTGACATTAATTCTATTATTTTACATTAATTCCGATTATAACATCGTAAAATCCATCCTAAATTTTTCTATTAATTAAAATTATTACGATAATAAAACATACGTCCATTCAGTTGACTCGAAGTATTGTTGGGCTGTAAAAATGATAATAATAAGACCACGTCAAGTCAAACGAAAAATTAAGTGATTGACATACCAGCATGCTTGTATGATAAATCTAATGACATTGAAATACAAGACGCTTTGAAAAACGCGTTGTGTACTAGCTGAAGTGCCTAAAAGTTTAGATGCTTGGAAGCAGAAAGCAACATAAGTTTTAACTGATATCTGTGTTATAATATATAAGCACATAAAGCGCAAAACACACAATTTACAAGAACTTTATACACTTTATAACTAATAAACGTGTCTTTGAACCAGGTCAAAATGTGTCAGGTGTCTTATGAGAAAAAGATATTCAATAATAGTTAGCCGCTGTGATATTCAACCTTTCTCAACGGTTCGCCGTGACACCTATCTATTGTTTGTATGCTTATGATTAATGATCAACTTTGATGTATTATCATAGGGTCAATATAAAGTCAACGTTGAATTAAATGTTGTTACTGACAAAACGGCTATGACAGGAAAGACTAGCAAAAAGTTTGGAAGAGTAAGTATTAATTATTTTTTAAATTCTTGGAAAACAAACCAATTGGATAATTTTATCTTTTTATACTCCAGTCTTTGAGATTCCAGTATAGAAACACAAACTACTGTTGATAATATACAGGGGGGAAATGAGAACAGTGATATTAATATAGCTGACAATGAAAGTAAGGTTAGTAAATTTGTTTCTAGTGACATTTCCTGTCAGTATTGGTATGATGTGTGTCAAAGATATCCGCGAAGGCGCAATACAAACTTCAGCCATTATAAATGACGTTACGGGCATTTTCTCAAAGAACTTTCCTACAGATTAAGATATATCATTATTTCTGGATTTGGAACTTCAAAAAAACATTTTGCACGAAGTTTCGACAACTATATCACTAATGATATCCACAAATATCTTCTGACGTTTTTCAATGAAGATTTCACTGCACAGATGCCATAATCAATATGGATTAAATTGCGACAAGAGAGAACTTATTAGGATTGCCAGGACAATAAAAATTCGTGCACAAACAGGTTATTTACCAGGAGTCAAAAACCTTGAAATATACCCTATACGTTTATTGGGTCACGTAAATAAAATGATAAATATAAATGCAAGTTGCACGCTCGACTCAATAATAATATTGAATGTCACATGAAACCAATCAAATTCTTCCTTCTCTTCCTCCGTCCGCCCACAAGAGATGATTTGATAATGACATTATGTCCGAAGAGGCAACCAAGAAAAACGCTTATACTGTATATCTACCTTCCATTTGATATATCCGTCTTTTCTAAACTAGACTACCTTGACATGGTTGTGCGATCAACCAACAGGCCCCGAAATAAAAAAGCAATGGACGCTCGTAACAATTAATCTCTTCACAAGTTTTATAACGAGCTTGTTATCCAATATCATTAACTGATACTTATCATCCAACCGATGGGTCGATTATAATTAGTCGACTTGTAGTCGATTAGTCACTACTATCAACTAACAATGCACAGCATCAATATCATTACAATATTAACGTCATAATTTATTGGTTTCTTATCTATAAAAACCGCTTGTAAGAAGCTATGCGGACCTCCTATATGAAATACATTGATCAATACTATGGGGTAAGTAATATGTGACGACAACCTCCATTCACATCCTAGAAAAAAGAAAAGAAAAAGAAAGATACAGCACGGTTAGAAATTGTTGTTATCGCGGTATCGAATGGATAATACATTATAATAGCTGATGCATTTATTTACCATTTCGCCATTATCTTGGAATATTCATCCAGCCGTATACGAGCTTGCACGTTCCCCTTATCGGCAGCAATGCCATACCATAGCAGCGCCTTTTCAATGAACAACTCGGCCACCTTTAAATTCGCATCCACGTATCCTCCTTCAGCTGCCGTTTTATATAACTTTAATGCCTCTTGCTTATTCTCCTCTACTGGAGCTCCGATTTCATTAAGCTCTCCCAACACATAGTATCCATATGGCACATTGCCATCGGCTGCCTTTTTAGCATATTCCAACGCACGCTTTGCACTATCTTCTCCATCTTCCTTCTCTCTGTAATATCGCGCCAACTCACAGTCTCCATATACGTCTCCAGATTGACTAGCTTTCTCATACAGTTCAACTGCTTTTGCAGTACTTTGGGATGTACCAAATCCATGTTTATACAATGTAGCTAACGCTATTTCACGATGTTCAAGTGACGGATGAGTGGAGATGAGATTAAAGTAAGCAACGTCGTCTTGGCGTTGGTCATTGTACCATTCTTCAACATCACGATCAATTGTATCGCATGATTTGTGAAAGCGAGCAATGAGTAGTTCAACAAACTTCTTCGCTTCTTGGATATCTGCCATTGTGATAATATAACTATTGAACTGATGATGTATCCGACTGGCGTTGATTGGTAATGCTGTGTTGTTGATTATTTTGGTCGCAGTGAAAAGATTACTTGCAAAAGTATCTCCGTTTTTATATCATTGCTCATCGTAACACCAGCACATCAAATACCGCGGGCTGTGTACGCCAATTCTGTACGCCTTTGTTTGTCCTTGCATGCGAACGAAACAAAGGGATTTCGGTTTCATATCTATTCAGTCATTTTACTCGTTGGCATATTAATAAAGATAGAAGATACGTGCATTCGAAACTTGTAGAGAAGTAGAATAGTTCGAATTGGAATACGGCAAGCGATGTCTGGTGTCGAATGTGCAACCGGGAAATGCGTATTATGTCAATCATCATAAGCCTTTGTTTGATCTTTACATTCATTATTCATTTTGTTGTAAAGAAAGAGTTTAGAATCTTAGTGACAACCGAAATTTGTTGAATGATAAAAGTCATCGAATACAACTTTGCTCATTAGATCAGGTTTGGTGAAATCACTAGTGCGTTGACAAACTCACGAAAATCTGACATAGCGTCTAACAATGTCATAATAAATGAATCTGAAGACAAGTTTAAACTGGCCAGACGCTGCAATCGTGTTATAGTCTTCCGTATTTTATCTAAATATTCAACGGTCGAATGGGAAAATCGGTTTTCTTTTAGGCTTGAACAAATATTTTCACCTTTGAAGCCATTAACTTGGTTTTGATAATGCTATGGCTTCAAAAGTAAGATCTATCAGGAAATTGGTTTTTTTGTAACAGCAACAAACTGTGTAATGATGTATCATTTGTCCTCTTCTATTACTATTATCATTACAGACTTATCAAATTATCCTTCTCTAAGCCAATAAGACTTACCATAGGTACATTTATTATTAATATTAATACTAATACTAGCCCAAATTTAAGATTCACAGATTCAATTTGCTTCATATTAGTCACAATTAGAAATAGACACGCTGTATTTATTTATGATAATCAATATCTCAAATTAAAATTGCTAGTATTATTATTGTTGTTAACATCTTAACTTTATTTTGTAATTAACAATACTGTATACCATAAACAGCAGGGACAACTAATGCTAATCCTCAAATTTTACGTCAAGTTTTGGAGAAATAAAACATACACAATTTACATAAACTCATGAATAAGGTCCTACCATGAATAAAGAGGCCAATAAATAACTAACCTCCATTTACATTACCCACCTGATTATCAACCAATCAACATCATAGTTCGTGATTTTGTAATAACGCGGACAATTGCAACCATCTCATGAATAAGAGCCTCCTCATATGGTGAAGGTACGCCCTTATTCATGAGAGTTTACGGTATATGTAGATAGGGTAGGTTATTCTTTCGTTCTGTCCTGTCGTAAAGAAGAATGAGTTTTCAACAGCCCTGGGATTACTGTAGCCTCTAACCTTGATCCCCAATGCCTATGCAGTATTCTTGAAGTTGACCAAAAAAGACAAAATCTTTTGACAATACCTTTCAAAATGTTCACGGGACCTTTTTTTTTATTTGTCGAAAACCCGCTTTACTTTGTTTAAGGTTTGCTAGATGATTTTTGTCACAGTAATCTTGACATGGACGGGAAAATGAGGTTGACCTACAAAACTACTTCTAGCGGTACGAAAGAAATCTTTAATCCGTTTGTTTAACGTATTCGAAAATAAAAAAGTTGACAGTGTCATTAGTTTTAGAGACTGCTACACAATTGACAAATCGACCAAATCGTCCTTATCAAGTAAACGTAAACTTGAACAGATTTCTTATAAGTTGCAAGATCGTAAAGAAATCGTCTACTAAATGTACCAAGTGACGAAGGCTGTTGAAAAATTAAAAAGAAAGAACGATATTAAAGATGTATTGGAGGGGAAAAATACCACTTTACAATCTCAAGTAGACTATTCTTTTTTTTTTTTTTTTAAAAAAAAGAATATATTTAAATAAATAAATAAGGAAAAAACACACTAAATAAAACACACAAAGCACAGCGTAAAACACACGCATAAAACTCGGCATAAAACACTCATAAAACACATTACAGATGAAAGAGAATTGTTGTGCAAATACTTCTAGTAATTATAAGTAGTCAGAAAATAATTACTTCAAGACTTCACATGTAGTACAAAATCGGACGCGATCCCATCTGAGTCTGCAACAAATTCCAGATATTTTAATAACATTTTATTGATAGAAGAATAATTCTTAGTGAAACAATAAAGTATGAGTAGAATTTCTGCAAATTCCGATGTTTCTATAGAATAATAGATTAAATTTTAAATACATAAACGTCTTGACAATACAAGTACAACTGACACTCATTATTACGACAATATTCAAGACGAAATAATCATTAAGAACTTATTAATCCCATCGCCGATTCTCAGAGTTAAGATTGAGTATAGAGCTAAATCTCAAGATCAAGATCAGCTGATAATTTGTTCTCCCGTATTGCTAGCACGACATTACGCGGTTTGTAAATGTGCGTATGACTGTTACTATGTTATGTCGATAACACTAACTCTTGCTCGTAAAAAGTAAACTATTTATTATTCAAGTTCATATATACGTGGGGCTGTTCAAAAAGGATTTTGTAAACTTTTGTTTACATAATAAATATTAATTTAACTCTGCTATTCCTTTGTAATACTTTTCTTTAATCTCTTACAATGTCTGATTTTACAGCATAGGTTGGGTGTTGAATCATCTCAAACCCCTTACCACCAATTGTGTTTTTTTGAAATAAAAAAGATCACACGGACTATAAGGAGGTGTAGAAGCAATATGACTCGTTCTTCCCGAATCTGCTTAGTGACGACCTTTGACTTGTGGCGCAGCGTTAGTAAACATGTGGGGAACTCGTTTGGCACACACTTTCCTGACATAAATTTCGTTATGTAAGAGCGTTTTAATGCTTCTAGATGACTTCCTAAATACATTTAATGCTAATATGAGGGTTAAGATTTTCAATAATATTAATGATCGAAGGTGTAACGGCTTCGCGAGGACGTCAGAACGAGATGTATTCTTCGATGCTTAATTGCTCAGCTTCCAATGCTTAAATCAAGCGGTAAATAGTACACTTGGATAGTGCTTTATTCCCTTAATTTTCTGTGAATTTTATCAATCCCTTCACCATTCTTCCAGCACATCAAATATAGTATTTTTGGTTTTCGCGCGTAAAGTTTTTCAGCAGACAAGTTTCAATAAATTTTTTCTCGACAACCACCAAATCAAAATTGTTAAGCTATGATATTAATATACAGTAGTTATTTGCGGTGTCAAGATAATCAGAAATTGATGAGATAATTGCACTGCATCAAACCTTTTTGAACGCTCCACGTAGTCCTATTAACATCTACTTTCTCTAGTAGTATATCGTAGAGCGCCCCCTTGAGCAACGCTTAGAGTATTCTTGTTGATACTTTATCAAGAGAATAAATCACAGTTCATCGACCGTTTTGGGGCCTGCTTTGGGAGTAAGAATACCAAGTCTTCTTTGTGCCAAAAATTTGCTTTTAGATAATAGTAAAGTCCGGTTTAACGAAGATGACTTTATAACGAAGTTTTTTTTGGAACCGTTTCATTCATATGTTATAAAATAGAGTCCGCTTTAACGAAGTCAGGCGATGGAACGGAGCACTTTGTTAAAACCGGACTTTACTGTGTAATTGCTTGTTTGATATAATGAGACGTACTATTTAAGGGAAGGAAAAGTTAGTAAATTAGCTGAAGTGTTTCTAAGAAATTATTACTATATAATCGTTAGCCCACAAAGGTACTGTTTCGGTTAGTATATTTTGCATAGATGACTGAATTATGGTTCGATTAACTAACCTGCTTCCTACACGTAGTAATCCCCTTTCCGAGGGTACCAACAATTAATAAACAGGAACAACATAATCGTTGAGTGTTTTTTAAGGAAATTTAATAATTCGGGGGGCTAACTTTAATTTGGTGCTTTGGCCTTTATTTATACGTCTATTAATAAAAATGGTACGAGTCTAGATTGATTGTGTTTGATTGATTAACGCGTACACATATCGTTAAAAGTTTTCCGCCTGATTCGATAGTCTGAAGAATCTTAGACTCTTTAGAAAATAAACGTAATTGAAATCTTTTATTATCCAACTAATGAGCATAAACTTCACGGTAATTTTGATAATGAAATTTCTGCCCCGTATCTATAACTAGTTTGCGACAAACGTTTTATATGTCAGGCGCGAAAAAGTAACGGTTTATCATCATTATTCCTCGTTGCACAATTTATTCCAAAAACTTATTGTCTACGATCTCGATAGGTGGGATATGAACTCTAAGGAGGGCCGAAATGTCACCAATTTATAACGCGTCTTCCCTAATCGAATTGTAATCGTATGCAAGTCTTGATAACAGGGGGACAAGAACACTGTCATCTTGACAGAGGGATTAATGTTTTTATGCTCTGTTGTACGAATTGCCAGGGAATAAAGCGTAGTTTGATAAATTAGTATTTCAGAAGGCTATACTATTACAAGGATGATCGCATCTCTCTGACTGCTCGTATTATGGTTATTCCATATTACGCTATCTGTTATTATTTTTATGTTTGTCAGCATCTGACCCGTCAGCGTTTCTGACTTTTGTGATGTTATACAATTTTGTTGATTTATTGTTGCTTGCTCCGTCCGATCCTTCCAAATTTGGTTTTCAGTGTTGCTGTCCGATTGAGATGCAAAATTATTAGTTTCAAACTGTCACAATTATTAGTCTTCACACTATTCACATTGCTGCAATCTGTTGTGTAAAAGGTCGGGGAGGGGCTATTATGCATACATGTGACCATGTGAGAAATTCGTCATCTACCTATATGGAAAATGTATGCATATACCGGCATACTCCGCACATAGTTTTCTGCATAGTGTTATTATGTGCGATAAAAATATATACCGATGGGAGCTCGCTTACGCAAGGCCTTGCATAAAGTCTGGTTCGTAATTGTGATACGTAGGGAAATAAAAGTTTGTAATAGCCAATAGTCCATGAAACAGTTTACTTTATTGAACCATACGCAAATCAACAATTTGGTGAATGCGGATCGCTATTAATGGGTGTCAGACGCTTGAACTTAACAAGTATTCTTTTAACGGCCTATGATATCGACAAACTATTTCACAGACTGGGATAAGCATTATTCATTACAAGAAACGTATGTAGATATTAATGAATTCCGATTTCTCACATTGCATTAAATGAGCCAATGGTTCCCAAGAAATTGGTAACGCCTGAAGGAAACATATGTGCTACATCGTAGAGCACCGCCAATTAATGGGACTAATAAAAAAAAAGCTTTGTAAAGGTGACACTTGAAAATATTTATATTTACGTTCATATTTATTTATTTATATTTGTAAATCAATTAGCGCACGTTGCTATTATGCTCAGCTTGGACATTATTAAACTATTCTTGGGTTTGATTGTCACGGGTGCCAAAATGGCAACCATTCGGAGATTAGCTAAATGAAAGGAAACCCCTAACATTAATCGGCATAATGAGAAATTCTTACATTCTGTTCTATTTGCACATCTATTCCCTAAAAAGTATACTCGTAACCACGAATTAGAACTTTGATAGTCTCAAGGAATTTCTAACGTTGAATACACAATGATAACAATGAATGATAAGAGGGGTCTTGCCCCATAAAGCGACGTAGAACGAAATGGGAAGCGGGATTTTCGCATTTCATACTCGAGGGTAACCAATGACATAATGATTTTGGGCTTGCATAAATGCACCACTTAGCGCTTAGCCACTTTACAAATAAACTTAAGAACCTGCGAAGAAAATCCCCCCCAGAACGCATCGGCTCTTTCGTTTCATCTTTGTAATTTCAGTTTTATCGAAGATGCCAGTATATTTTGTTTGTCAGGATATAAGCGGCTGCCCGGATTTGATCAAGGTTACATCAACTTTTTAAGCTATCTAATTTATTGGTCAACGTCTAATCAGTAGTTTGATAGGCAATAAAATTTGGGCATATAAGTCGTACACTATCAAAGACGCAGTGCATTATTATCTAATATGATTTACCCTATCACCTCCCTATTACCATACCCCCTCCTTATTCTATAGGTATAAAAGATAACCGTAAGGATTGTTAGGTTGGCATGCTAATAAGCCGAACACACAGACAGTACCAAACCTCCCCAAATGATAACTAATCCTTCTATGTAGTCCATCATTATTAACCAGTAGAATTCTCGAGAGTGTGCAAAATTACGAATGACACATTTGGCTATAAGAATGTGCTTTATTACTTTATGTAGAGTATTTTTTTCGATAAGCGCATGCATGGCTGGTCTATTTACTATTACTATTGTTGTTGCTGTTGTTGTTGTTGTTGTTGTTGTTGTTGTTGTTGTTGATCTGCTTCCATTTGAATTAATTAGTTGATGCGCGTGTTGGTATTAAAGTTATTGTCATCTTTGGCGAATACAAATATTAATTGCTGAAATGTATTTGCTGATCTCGTCTATTCTATGTGAAAAAATAATTAAATAATATTTGTACAACCATCGTCCTACATATAATCGAAAGTATTCGGATTCTCCCGGGTATTATAAAGATGTTTGATCATCGATCGATCCATATTATTGCTATTGTAAAAAACCCCCCTTACACGTTCCATGATTATCTACTTTTCGATTCCTCAACCTCGATTGCGCTGGCCTTCCTCTGCAATTCATCCATGGCACGGAAAATTACATCGGTAATTCTAATCCGAGTCGTTGTTTCGTCTATTTCATGTAGCTCCGCGAGAAGTTCCTTCAAGTCTATTGGGTCGCCAAATAGGATTTTTATATCTTTACCAATAAGTGGAATAAACGGATTATCCCTTTCTTCGGGCATAACATCCTCGAGACCTGGAAGGCAGAATTAATAAACATTTGAAAGAATACATATTGCAACAACATAAATAAATCTTGACGCACACCTTTGTGCCATAATGGTACAACTATAGGTAAATTATTCGTCTCCATCAGTAATCGCCCAATTCCCCATTTAAATCGAATCAAGTTGGCAGTTTGATTGACCTTTCCTTCTGGGAAAATATGTACCTTTTAAGGAACAAATATATTTGTCAGAAAAAGTAGTAAAAAAACTACCTCGCATCAAGACAAGAAGTTTGTCGTTTCTGTATACCCACCCATTCACCATCATTGAGTCTATCCAATGCATAATTCATGGCTGGTTGGTGTATTCCTGCCCCTCGCACTGTGGGAACAACACGGCCAAGCGAAAAGAAATAAGAAAGTGCTCTAATTCAAGACAGAACAAACACAAGATCGGTCAGCAGATTTTATCGTAATATGACTAGCATGCCATATCGCATGTCATCAATTACTTACGGGTTGGTAAAGCAAATCTCCTGTGCACCAAGTGTCCAACGAATTGTTCGTAAACTCTTGTAAACTGACAATGGTAGGCTTCCCCACAACAACGGATCATCGACTCTAAGGAAAGTCAATGCGTGTCATTGTTACTTTCCGTAGTACAAAGCATGACGAACAAAGTGACTGATTCATGTAAGAGAGAAATACTTACGTGGAACAATGGTTGGCAACTAAGAATGTAAAAGTATCGAATAAATCGGATAAACCATTAATGCATGTATGCACAATTGACCGACGAAAATAATTCTCAGTTATCCTTTTGACTTTGCATTACTACCCCCCACTTTCTTTTCCCTCCTTCTGAAACATTGTAACATACCGGTTAATATGGGTCTAGTTCGATTAGGATCCACTAAAACGCGGACAAAAGGTTCCTCATTATGAACGACAGCTGACTTTGTGCAAAACTTCAGAAAAAACTTTGCAATTACTACACAGGACACGCTAGTGCACCAGCTCGCCAAGTTCCACAGCCGGGCTCCAGCGACACGATTTAGTAACATGCGTCTCGGATTGTTATTCTCTAAATAGTATGGTTTGGGGACTTTGACTATGCATTTTGTATCTAGTCCGAAAGGTGTCTCGTTAGATGGAACCTCCGTGTTAGTTTGTACCATATTTCCGTTGTGGGAAAAGGCAAAGAAGCGTAGAACAGGAACCGATAAAATAATGAATAATAATGTCCCTAATAGTGTCCACATTAGTTTGTCGGTAACCGTTGTTGGGTTAGGTAAATAATATTGGGAAAAAGAAAAGGGATTTTGTGTTGGACCAACTGCAACCAATGATGTTCTGTTTCTAAGTACCGTCACTGGAACCGATTTACCACACTTTTGGGAAGAATGTGTCATTTCTCGAAAAGTTCATAATTCCTCGCTTTGTTCGCTCAAACAAACCTGAATACCAACCCGTAAACCAATTTTCTCTTCTTGCTCCTTCTTTCTCGTTCAAATAAAATTCACCTGCAATTTACTGCTGGAAAGTCTTTACCAATATATTTTGCTTCTTATTTTTAAAATTCTAATCACTATTTCAACTATTCGAAAAGTAGTACTTTTACCCCCCCAATAATAACCTTTCTCGGTCTAACAAGTCCGTTCTCCGAGTTATAATTTGGACATATTCTATTTCAGACGTGGTTTCTTTACTTTTCTTATTTTAATTCGTCAAGGTAACTAACCGAACGCTGGCGATCGTATTCCTGAAAAAGTTACTAAGAATAGTGGGCATGGGCGGGTGTATATCGGCTCATAACGAAGATTACCAGACTAACAAGAGGATAGAGAAAGATTTGAAGAGGGATGAAAAACAACAGAAAACAGAAGTGAAACTATTACTGTTAGGTAAGAGCCAATTTAAATTGATGTGCTTTATGGTTTTGGGTGATAGAGATAAAGTTGTAGAATATATGTTGAAAAGTATGCAGAGCTACTTGATTCTACCCTGACATCACAAAAGAAAAAGAGAGACTTTACCGACCCAAAGTTACCCGCGAGTATACGAGTTTTCTTTTTAAAATACTGACGAGAATTGTGGTCGATTCTAGGTGCGGGAGAGTCTGGAAAGAGTACAATTCTCAAGCAGATGCGTCTAATTCATACAGCCGGATTTAACGACTCAGAGAAGGAAAACTACAAATCGATAGTTCTATTAAACATAATGCAATCTATGCGACTGGTGCTGGAAGCAATGGAGTACTTTCGCATTCCACTTGGAGATAGTTCAAATATGGTAGGAAATGCGTGAGATGATATAACTGATAAAACTGATAATCAACCGGAATAAACATCAAGTCTCATTTGTTTCCTCTTTCTTTAATACGCAGCAATATTTATCACTATTTACCGATATTCCGACTCTACCAAGGGGACAGCCGTTTCCTACGCACTATCTACAACCCCTGAAGAGCCTCTGGAATGATAATGGTGTACAGGAATGTTATGAGAAGGGCAATCAGTATGCTTTGCATGACAACATGAGTTAGTGAGTATAATAACAACAATGACCCATCGTGTAAAATGGCAGGACAAATAAATGCTTAGTTTGTATTGTTTCGTTCACTAATAACACTACATTCGCTTCCTTTATCATAGCTTTTACGGGAACTTGGATAGAGTTTTTGCTTCTGAATACACACCAACAAACCAAGATATCCTTCGATGTAGGCTGAAAACAGTTGGTATAGTGGAAACAAGTTTCCACCTTGGACCGCTTACCTATAGGATGTTTGATGTTGGAGGACAGCGATCCGAGCGAAAGAAGTGGATTCATTGCTTTGAAGATGTCACAGCAGTACTTTTTCTTGTAGCTATCTCTGGATATGATCAGTGCTTGGTAGAGGATAAAGATGCTAATCAGATGCAGGAAGCATTGCTTCTATTTGATAGTATTTGTAACTCTCAATGGTTCGTCAACACGAGTATGATATTGTTTCTGAACAAGATTGATATATTTAAGGAGAAGATTAAATATTCCAGGGTCAAGAAATACTTCCCGGATTATCAAGGTAAAATTTGACAAATGGTTTGTCGCTGCACATTTTGATCGTGACTACTAACACGGACAATGTGTCAATAACATAAACTCGCATAGGTTCATCCGATGATTTCAAGCAGGCCTCACACTACTTCAAGCGAAGATTCCAGCGATTGAATAGAAGTACTCAGAAAGAGATATATCCTCACTTTACTAATGCTACTGATACCGATCTTCTAAGACATATAATGGGAAGTGTGACAGGTAAGCCAATAACTAATGCCGAGATTTGTACACTTAATTGTCCTTACTAATCTATCTATGTGACCCTATAGACATTATATTGACGCAGAATCTGCGAGACTTGGTCTTATAGTTTGTCTGTTTACTATTTACGAACATTCTATTTTAATCATTATTATTATTTACAACGCATGGCAAATTCTTTTAATTAATCGAGTATAGCGAGATACTAATTATACGTGGAGGGGCAATTTGGGAGTGCGTTAATCGAACATTTGATCTTACTTTTTATACAAAAAAAAAAACAATCCAAATAAACACGTAATTTTGCAGTACAACAAACGATCACTTCTATCCGAGTCATTTTCAAATTTTATCAAAGGGCAAAGAGAAATTAAACACACTTAATAATCTTCAAACGCGTTTTCGCCTCTAAACAATCTGTATAATAACTTAAAATTAATTTAGTATCTTCTGCTCGCTAGCAGTAACCAGCGACAACCATTCAAATTGGTGTCAGGTGTAAATATTGGACAACAAATATTCTCATAATTATATTAATATTGTTTGTCGTATTCCAATTGATAGCATCTGCGTTGTCCTGGTCATCGTAATAGCATCGATATAGTGTTAATCATCTAACCAGGCTCACAGAAGCAATATTTTGTTGAATAGCTTACCATCATTGTATGCCACACGTGAGGAAACGGCCATGATATCAAGTGAATAACGGGCACGCCTCTTTGTAAGAATGGAACATGATCATCTTCTATAAATGAACTCCCTGGCATATAAGAGTCAAAATACATGTCCGAATCTAAACTTTCGTCATCATCCTTCAAAAATGATTTGGTCCATAGACGTTTCTCCAATTCTACGAGCTCGCCGAATAGCCATGATGTAGTTGCATAAAAGTTTCTCAAAACGGGCCCCTTGGCCCCAATTAAGTCTAACAAGACCATAACTTCAATACCACTGAGAAGAGACATTGCTGTATTGTGCGGAACATCGATTCTTGATAAATACGTATACTCCCATTTTGCAGCAAGATGCCTGAGACAACGTTAGCGAATTTATCATTGTTAAAATAACCACGAGTATAATCATGCAATCTATGTATAAGATTGTTACCTCGATCCATAAAGTGAATCCGTCTCTGACCATTCGATGAAGGCTTCTTCACCGTCAAAAAAGATTAACTGCAGAGTCGTTTCCGAACCATTATGATTATTTAACAATGGATCTAGCGTATGTGCAAGATCTACGAGCATGCCACAGGGTACTGCAGAATCTGTTGCGCCGATGAAGCCGTCATTCGGTGGTGGAAAGTACTTTGAATCATAGTGAGCAGCAAGTACAAGTCTCGAACGCGCGGTTATATCCTTTGTTACAATTATATTATTAAATGCTTTGTTACCAAGCGGTGTTGAATCTGTAAACTTATCCTCTTCGACATCCCAGCCTAGATTTGTAAAAGTCGACACGATGAATTTCTCCACCTCTCTGTGAGAATCTGTATCAACTACTCGAGGGACTAGAAATGGTTTTACAAACTCTTCTAGTCGAGACTTGGCGGTAGCTACTGTGCTTAGATGGTCATCGGAAAGAGCTTTGAAAGAGAAAGCCGCGCGGAGGTACGTCACCAGAAGTAATAGCCGGAATAATAACATTCTATGTATTCTAGTTGTGCTATTCAAATAGGCAAGCATAAATTGGAAAGTAAATGACGTAGAACGTGGAAATTTGCACGATTACGTGACACCTTTTGTAGGAAAAAACTGACACTTTACACAATAAATCGAATTTCCATTATCACAATAATAACAAACAAACGGCCATTTACAATTTACACTCAACATAACGTGAAGAAAAGATAAACTGGCCAAGAGAAGATCTTCACCATAGGTGTAAACGGTTTTGTGGATTATGCTATATAACGTTCTGCTTTCGTTGGAAGTGACCTATCAAATAGAGAAAACGATTATGAATGGCAGAGCCAAAGTTGATTGATAGACTTGGAACGTGTTAAGTACAATTACATATTGATGCTGTGCTGATATACAAAAAAGGGGGAGGGGTGCTTTTGAGTGGAAACGTTGGAGTAAACCGTTAAGCAGAATTGACATATCATGCAATAAACAATGCTTGCGCTGACATAAGAACAATTGTAAATTTCGTTTTTAAAATCAATAGTTGACATGAGATTTATGTGCTATATAGAATGCTACCTTTAATAACAAACCGAAAATTGGACGCGACAAAAATTCTGTCACAAAATGCTTGTCCGACAAAAAGTACAAATTAATAAACAAAACGAGCCTTATTTGTAAACAACTTTCACACGCTTTATTTAAAATGCAAGCCTTCCACTCTTTCCTGCTAACTGCATCTCCATATTTACCCTCGCATTTGTTTTATTTCCGCTTATTGAAAATAATGCACGGTATGTTGGATGTTTTTTCTCTATATGTCTTTCCTTTTCTTCTTCTTAATAATAGCATCTAATTCTTGCGGATAAAATTTTTGGGTCAGAAAAAGGTGATTATTTAAAAAGGTTAACTCAGGAAACTATCAAAAATTGCTGGCAAAAAACAGGCATCCTACCGATTATGAATTCAGAAGAAAATATCTCCGCGTTAGCTCGCAATACCACAGAAGCGGGGCAAGATACAATAAATATTCTTTTCAATAGATGCCATAGGAAAGTGACATGACCGCTGAAGTACTTATAAGGTCGCGCACGACAACAATATCAAGTGTCATCTTCCGTCATTTAACACGCGAACACGCGTCCACTCATACATATATACCCTGTCACTCCTCTCCATAGCGTATATATCGCTTCACAACAACCTTTCCTCCTCCAAAACGCAAATATAACGTTATCAACAAGCCTTTGCTGCTACGACTTCATATTACGCACACACGACAGTTTGCCACAACAAAGAACGCCCTTTGCTGCTACTTACTACTCCATATTACGCACACACGACAGTTTGCCCCGCGTGTTTCTCCAAAGGTGGGTGTGTGCTAATTGAGATTAATTAAATGAGGATATATTTGCAATGACATAATACAACGCTCTGCTTTCTGGAGAGTAATGTATTGCCTTCACTTCAGCTTGTTCTGTAGCCGTGTGGTCAGTCTGCAATGTAAAGCGGGTATTTTCTCTGCTTTTTCTGCTTGCAAAGCCTCTGTATTGTACGTACATCTATGCGATGCGAGCGGTTGAGGTTAGGGTTAGTACTTTGCTCTGTGTTGTCAGTAGTTTCCCATGTTCGCCTTCGTTGCTCAATTTCATAATACCATCCGGCATATCCCAAGGAGAACACTTGTTAGTTTCTAGTTAAGTAATAATAATATCAAAATACCCAAAGTTTGTGAATATTTATACCTAAACTGAGGTTTTGGGATAAGCTAATAATCGAAAACGTTAAGTTGAAGCTTTAAAAGCTCTATTACACATAACATTGAACTGGATGACTTGTACGGAAAATCGATGTAAGATTGTGTCGTATATACAAAACTATTGAATAAGCAACATTATATGTTATTATTATCGAACCAGTTATATTGAAATAATTCATTGTTATGCTTGTTTTATCGTCCGGGATATTTTATTCTTTTCAATAATGCTCTTAATTAATTGGTATTATTACAATCGTTATTCTTATTTATCGTTATTATCGTCAGTTCCTGTTATAATAATCCATCGCTATACATATTTAAATAGACAAATTGTGTATTGCTAACAATTTTATCCAGTAAACTCAAACCTACATTCGAAACTCTTGTCAACAGTTGTAGGTACAAGTACAACAGAGCCGCATTGCTTACGTACGTATCAGCCTGCTAGGTTATCAATATTTTCTTTAAAATTTTTGTTCGCTATCGCCAATTTAAGTTGACCACTTCTTCTTTTGCTTATAAGCATTCCTGAATCTCTAGGTCCGTATGTGATTAACAATTCGGTTTCTCGAGCAATAGAAACTTCTTCTGCCGTATCGAATTTGTTTTTCTTGGTATGGCTTTACTCTTTTATTAGTGGCGCGGTAGTAGAAGTTTCACCGTAGCGTAGTAGTTTCAATGGGAAAAATTAAATAGTTTACAGTATTTTGCATTGTGTGACAAGCCTTAGCGTTGTGACATTGTTAGTTTACAAGTTTTCCCTATTAAATACACCCAACTTATTCACCATAGAATATAACAATTTTTGTCATTATAAAAATTTGACAGTTTGATTATGCTACGTAATGATTGACCGTGTTTTCTTCGCGAAAGGAAATTTTGATAATCTGTTTAATGACAAGACAGTAATGTTTTGGAAAATCGTATAGTGACTATTCAACAAACAGATAAAAATACGGCATACAAGTGAAAACAGACACAGCGATTCTCCGTTAAATCAAGAAATCGCTAAATCGAGTTTCAAATATATAAGAGCGAACCGTGTGGATTGGCCATGAAAGTTCTCCGTACCGTAAGATAGGCGGTGAAGCGACGTTGAAGTGAAATTCAAGTTCGCATGGCCTTTTTGCCAGAAATTCGTTCGTTTCACAACGCTTCGCTGTAGATCAAAGCAAATCAGATATGGTGGTGCATGCAACATAGAGTCTCGAAAATGCAATTTTCGTTCCCAACGCAACAGTTTAAAAAAAAAAAGGGTTCTCGTTCTTTCACTAATAACGAGGCTTAATATTTACTATATTAATATTGCAGCAGAAAAATATCTTCCGTATCTTTTTGGCTTACATAACTATGTACTGTTAATTCGTGTCTCTTTCTATCCTTGTAAAAATGAAAATCTTAAGCCTTACCGTCACACTTGTATGCAGTTGCAGAACAAAATTAATTGTGTTCTTGTTAAGGACCCAGTCACTAATGAGATGACAAAGTAAAAAGCACTTGAAGAGTAAACAGAAAGGAAGTGTACTTAATTATTGAAATTTTTGAATTGATTAAATATCACCAAGTTGTCATATCGTATATTTGAGAGTGCAATTATACACGACACTCGAAAAGATTAGTTCTTATTCGAACCTTGGTAAGTTTTGAAAAGCCAGTTCTAGTAATAAAACAATAAATAGATTTTTAGTCGTTATTTATTTGCTTGCTTCTGTGTATTCATTAACACGCGCAAGTCTTAAGTGACTGTTGTGGAGAGAATCATAGCATCATAATATCAATAATCAAACCAATTGTAGCACTGTTGAATTTTTGAATATGAGGAGCCTGCCAATAAGTCTTATCAACATAATTCGATTAAAGAAATGTGCCAACATGTTTAACACAAAAAACTCTTGATATTTACCTCAAGCGTCAAGAGTATTTTTATATAAATGAACATCAATTCATAAACCATGACCTGACAATTTTTGTTATGGGAATTTTAATAATAGCGTCGTAGTTAAATTGGTCAAATTTATTAATCCGAAAATAAACGGGCGATGAACTGCTCAAATAAAAGACAAGTTACAAGATAAACGTACGCGCATTAAACCAAACAAAACGCGGGAACGTGAACGGTGCTTGTTAAAATGCGTACAGTGTAATGTGAGATAGTTTACAATTGAACATAACTGTTGCATCGTTGATGCGTATATATTTTTGAACATAGTTTTACAATAGTCTACAAGCTAGATACGTGGGGGACAAATGTATTGCACAGTCGTAATTTATAAATTTTTTACGTAAAATAAAGGAACCAACTTATGGACCACTTACTTCATCAATTGTCTAAATAAAATATTAATACAGCGTGTCATGATGAACAGAATAATAAATTAATAAAAATCCCAATTTTGGTGTATATGGAAAATATTGCACACTTTTATTTATTTAAAGCAGCAATCACAGCTTGAATTTGGTTGGGAATGATACGTAGTGTCTGAAAAGTTTTGACTATGTACAGTCCCCGTCTCAAAAGTCGCCGACCCACTCCTTTACATTTGCAATTATGTTGGCATAACGAGCAATGTAATCACTGTGAAATAATACTGCATTATTATTATAGACAAAAAATTGCGAGAACCTATTCGGCCATGCCGAGGGAAGCAACTTTCTGCTTCGAAAACATAATTACTCAATTTTATGTTGATGCTATTGGAAAGAAATTGACAGTTTAAATTAACCAAGTTATTCCTTAGGAACCCGATCGAAAACTTGTTAAACTATAAATAAACCGTGATTATAAGTTTATTCGAGAGTTTGAGTCACTAAATTATAGAACAATAAAACATATTAATATTGTAAATTGACTTCATTTATATCAACATGTAACCAGATGCTGTCTTCATACCTGCAGCTGAATCCAAATCGTAGCTATTTCTCAGATCTCCGGTAGGTAAGAGCGTACTAGAATATTTACTCTCCTTCTCGAGACGTGACAAGGGTTTTACATCATTATAATAAACGGAATTCCACGTGTTGTCATTAGACCTGATCTTTCCAATAAGCTTGTCAATGTCACTCCAATAGAGTGTATATGCATCCGGACGCTTGCCTGGATCAGCATCACAACACCGCTCGGCAAGTTTCTTGTATTCCTCTGGTGCGGAATCAGGCATCGGTGGTCGTAGTCC